ATTGTGGCCAGCCTAAGGCACACCTGTGCAATAATCATGCTGTCTAATCAGCATCTTGATATGCCACACCTGTGAGTTGGATGGATTATCTCGGCAAAGGAGAAGTGCTCACTAACACAGATTTAGACAGATTTGTGAACAATATTTGAGAGAAATAGGCCTTTTGTGTACATAGAAAAAGTCTTAGATCTTTGAGTTCAGCTCATGAAAAATGGGGGCAAAAACAAAAGTGTTGCATTTATAAATTTGTTCAGTGTATATCTTGTTATATGCAGTCAGTTTAACAGATCACAATTCTGTCTGTTAACTTCTAATTTAAAAGTCACATAGTGATTAGACATTAATAAATGAAAGAACAGGCATAATTGTGCACACATGAAACTTGTGTAATTTACTAAAAGAGTATAAAACAGAGCAGTGCAATTATACTTTGGAATTATTGTTATTTTTATAGTTAGTTATTTTTAGCTAGTTTTCTTTTAGCAGAGTTTCAGTCAAAGAAACATCTTCAGTTATTTTTCATTTTCATTAATGTTAACCTTGATAAAGTGAGGACCAAAAAGCACACTGAAAATCTACGATTAAAATAAAACTTGAAAAGTTTTAGCATTTCGATTGAAACAAACAAAAGTTACAGTATGGCATAAATTAATAAGAAATAAGATTCTGTACCATATCTGTGTCACTAATATCCAGTGTTGGGGAAAGTTACTTTTAAAAGTAAAGCATTACAATATTGCGTTACTCCATAAAAAAGTAACTAATTACGTTACTTAGTTACTTTTTATGGAAAGTAATGCGTTATGTTACTTTTGCATTACTTTTTAAATCTGGACAGGGGTTGCTTGTTTGATTTTAAAATAACTATTTTTGGCAAATATAAAAGCCTTTTCACACCAAAAGTGAAATGAATAAGCCTCAGGCTGAAGGGAAAGTAATAGTTACTTGAAAAAAAGTAATCTGATTACGTAACTCGCGTTACTTGTAATGCGTTACCCCCAACACTGCTAATATCTAGTGTATCATTTGTGACTGATCATGTGACTCATTTTTTTTTACAAAAAGTCAGATGTTCTGTCACTGAACCACAAGACTCTGGATCATTCTGATTATGATAATCAGATTTTACAGAAACTTGTGGAGTTCATGCACCTTGACTGCTGCTGTCATTACTAAGACATTATGAAAATCGCTTTGATTTTCAAACTCAAATTGTTATGTTTAATTGCATAGACAGAGAAGGGAGGGATGTTCAGAAGTGTTTGCAGCTGAAGAAGTAGAGCTTTGGGCAAAATGTGTGAAACAGAAGCATTTTCACCAGTGGTTTCATACTTTTGTATTCAATTGGAACATAAAAAATGCTCTAGTCCATACGAATCATGTGAAAAATAAGCAACTCACCTGTGTCTCTGCAACAATGGTTTCCCTTCAAACTGAGGAGATACTACAAGAACTTTAAAACTGGCAGCACATCTATTAGGAGACGTGTCTTCTACATCCTGAAAAAAAAGTAAGTATTTTGACACAAGGAACCGAGTGTACGTATTTTCGTGAATTAACTGCTGAAATGGGAAGAGCAGCTGCTGCCGGTTTCATTCACACATGTAAACTGTATGATCTGTAGATCATTTTAATTCTAGTATCATCTGGCTATGCATGTTACATACCACGTGTATCGCACCAATCTCCGCAATCAGTTTTTCACGTATCAGATCTGGGGTAACTGACATATTTCCCGTAATAAAGTATAAGTTTTGGTGACGAGGACCGGCTTTATAAACTGAGTAATTTTAACACACAGTAGACAGCGTTGTAACTACCGGTATGCCTTAGAAAGGAGGAGCTAAGTATAAAAAACACCCAATTGAGCTTGGAATATTACAAAGACCACGTCTCTAGAACACAGTAATGGCCAATCCCTTTATCGTATGCTTTACCAAACCCATGAAAACTGACCAATCAAAGCAAAGAATTTGGGGTCCTTGTTGTTATCGGTGTTCTCTTCATTTGCTTGATCGAAAAAGCAAAAAAAAAAAATCTAACAGCAGACCATCAAAACTATTTGAATCAATATAGACGATCAAAATTGTATTTGATAATAACGTCAATTTTGGCAAACTATTTAACTTATTATTTTTATACGCTTACTATGCGACTTCTTCATCGTATTTGCTCAGGCCATACCCGGTCATATTTAACGGGCTAGTCTGAAAATAAGCCACATTACTGAAACAAACAAATGAATGTTTTGATTCAGTACAGTTGAATTTAGAAGAAACAGAACAGACGCTGTTGATTTTTAGTCTTTAATAGGATATCATATATCTAAACCAGATATTATATATTTAAACCAGATGGTTAGATTATAGGTAATTCGCTTGAGATGAGAAAATCTTGAAAGGTGGTGTATAAATGCTGATGTTGTTGAATATTGCCAATGAGCAGATGACATGAAAAGCAAAGAAAAGTTTTAATGTCTTACCAGCCCTCCCAGTGGCGTAACTTAGTAATGACGTCATACGGGCCCCCTGAGCTGCACAGTTATGAAGCACATACAAACACAGTGCTCGTGTCTTGAAGGGAACCCATATAAGTGAATTTGTGCCTAACCTACTTAATTTTGACCAACTAAAATCAGTATCTTATCGGTTTCTTATATTAAATTGAACAGTTCTCTTTGCGCGCGTCTCTCTCCTACATACACAAACACGCAGGAATCACGGCAACCGCATTCCTCTCCGAGAGGCAAGAGAGCACGACCCCACCACTTTTTGCAACATCTCGCGGCACGCACGGTCGGATGTACCTAAAAAAGAAAGAAACATCTCCACTCGATAAGAAATTCGTTGGTCTGTGTTAAATAACATTTCTCAACCGGGGTGCCGTATAAAAAAATCATTTTTTAATATTTTTAAATTGCTAAAATGTTAAAAAAA